CGTTATGTGCTCGAAAAGTACCACAAACAGATTTCAGATCATTTGACATGTTACATACCCCCAAATGAGACTCAGACAGCGAGTACTGATGAAATGCCGGTCGGCTTTTATTGAACAAATTCTTACCGCCCCGACCTCCTCTGCCATAGGGAGGTCGGCGGTGGGTACGTTGGTCCCGCGAGCCTCCCGTGTGTCTGTCTGGACCTGGGGGCCTCGTCGCTGGGGGACGATGAGCCACGGAGCGTGGATATGGCCCGGGGCGCCTGCCGGGCGAGCGCTCCCTGCCTCTGTCTCGGCTCCGCGCTGGAGGGCGGGCCTCGCGCCTCGTTGCTAAATGCTGGGCTAGGCTAGCAGAGTCCTTAGTTGCGGTGTCCAGCCTAGTCATCAGGGTCTGCATCTCCGGACCGAAGAGCGACGTCTGGGAGATGGGCAGGTCCAGCAGCTGCCTCTTCTCCGCCTCCCTGATGTTCGCCAGCCCCAGCCAGAGGTGCCTGGCCCCAACTTGTGCTGCTGCCATGGTGCGGCCGCCATCGACAGCTAGCGCCTGGCACATGCGCAGGATCGCCGCTGAAGTGGTCCTCGCCTGAGATAAGGTGTCTCCACTGAGCGCCTGGCCAGAAGAGAGCGACCTATCCAGGGCCCCGGTGATGAAGGCCATGTTGTTCGCCACAGCGACGACCTGTGCCGCATTGGCGTAACATCTGTCGTGCATAGCCAAAGACATCCTGTCCCGCTCGGAGGGAAGGAGAGGTCTGGTGCCGGGCCACACGGATGCGGAGGGGTGCAGGGCCACTCGAACCGAATCCTCGATGTCCGGGACCCCGCCGGTCCAGGACCAGTCCTGCACGTTGCAGTACATGCCGTACCCCAAAGCGGGCCTCTTGGCCGCTAGGGGCTTTGGCCACTCACGTGTCGCGTAATGGACGATCGGGTCCATCCGCGGGCACAACGTGGGCTGCGTCCTCCTCCTCCCTCGAGTGGTGGCGTAACCAGAGGTGAAGTCCTCCACCCTCTGGTTCGGTTGCGGTGGCAGGGGGGCATCCATGATGGCCGCCGCCGTGGAGTAGAGCCCAGGCATGTGGTCCAGCGGGAAGCGGTCCGGCTCCGGGTTGGACACCACCTCGTCCAGCGTGAGGAGAGAGCCGACCTCCGAAACCTCTCCGTCCTTGCAGTCACCCCACGTCCGGCGTCCGGATGGGGCGCTGTAGCGGCGAAGAACGCGCGCCTGCGTTCACTCTCCTCCCTGGGGAGAGCGAGACACGAGGCGCAGGTGGCGCTCAACGCCGCATGGCCCGAACCCAGGCACACGAAGCAGCTGGAGTGCTGGTCCTTGCGCTGGAGCTTGACCCGACAAGTCGAGCAACGACGACGTCCGACGCCGGATGGCGAAGGGGAACTCGGACGAGCATCAGAAGACATCTTTTTCTCTGGTAAAATTGAACGGTAGATCACAATCGGCACCAGAGTGAAAGAGGGGGTGCGGCCTTGTGCAGGGGCATTTATAGAGGAAGGTGGCTGGTGATTGGAGCAAATTATTTTGATCTCTCTGGCGTGTGACCTGGGGGTCACGAGTGATATCCCACTAGCGAAGTCCTAACGTAGGAGAGAGGTCGGCTCTCTCCTCACGTAGAAGAAGACTATTATGCAGCTATATATCTGGTAAATTTCTAACATAAAACACAGAGATTGACAAATTCCTCCCCTGCAGCCGGACTAACCTCGTAAGTCCAGTGGCAGTCTTTCAGTCTATATTATTTCTTGCTTTGATTGAAGGTCCAGTTGATAAAAAAATCTTCAGCCAAATCATTCATTTTCCAGCAAAAGAAATAGCACCGATAGGACTGATTGTTAGCAACTCTGGTATGAACTTCATGTTGAGTGTCGCCCCCTATCGGTGAGATACAGATACAAAGTATATTCCACCCAAGTCACATGGTTCAGCTCCAGTTTCAGACCACATAGCTGTGTTTGAGCCAGCACAGCCTGTAAGTTTGTGTTGTTTGCCTATTAGCACTTGAGTAGGCTTGGATGACCTTTTGTTTGTTTCGGGGTTGTGTTTAACCCTGAATGCTAGCACCGAATGCTAGAGTCGTTTACATGCTACCGCTACTATTAGCATTAGCCTTGTATTTGTTCAGCCACACCTTGACAGTGTTACATGTTTACAATATGTTGTTTGAATGCACAACTTCAGACTGTTTTTCTCAATTTTTTACATATACATACATATATTTATTATTATTATTATTATTTTCTTTCAGTATGGTGATAGAGCAGCTGCTGGCCGGCGGAGGAGAAATTGAGTGTTAAAGAGCAAAGAAGGTGGAAAGAAGAGTCATACAGATGGTTTTCCATTGACGTCACGCCAAGCCCCGGCGATCCAAGATGGCGCCCTATTCAATGAATGGTTGTGCTCAGTGGCGCTTTGTGACGGCATGGGGGCTGAAAGATTAGCGGAAGTTGCCTGAAACTCGCAAAGATCTATGGGAAACTCGCAAGATCTATGGGAAACTCGCCTGTATTTGGGCATCGTCTGGTCCTCCCGGTTCTGTGCAGTGGATGATCTCCCATAATGTGTTGCGCCAAACACGCGTGTGTGGGTCTCACACCGGGTCTCACGCACGTGCACAGAGGGGCTCGGCTGCGCTCTGACCAATCAGAGCAGTTCATCAGAGCGGTAGTTAGAGCGAGAGCCAGACGGGCAGAGTTTGTGGCACTAAAATGTGGATTCAAACAAAACCGAAGGATTTAAGAAGAAAAAAAGTTCAGGATGACAAGGGACACTAAAATCCCCACAAAATCCGACCTTTATGAAAGCTGTAGGTTCTCTGTCAGCTGAGGTTGAGCTGTTTTAATATGCATTGAGTCCTATGGGGAAAATTTCTGGGTAGCCCACGTGAATTTAGTCTGGTTCAGTCTGCAGTACCACGAGAATCCCCTGAGCACATGAGTTATTCATCTACAAGCTAGTAATACCCTACCCAGTTAATATAATCGATCCATGCGTCACGCACCACCTACAATTCCGCAGATCGCCATATTGGCTGTCTAGCCGCCAATAGTTATAGGTAAACAAAGCGCTCAAATCACTTTTGGTGCTAAAACATGCCACTACCTGCGCCGTTTGGGGGTGCAGTAACCGTGCAGATTGTGGGGACATTCCGAAGGCTATTACGAGCCAGGGGAGCTACTCTCGACGGAGAAAAGAACCCTTTAGTTGGCGAGAGGGATTCAACCCTAACCCCCTGAAAAATGGCACTATAAGGCCTGTTTTGACCATTTCATAGCAGGTAAGAGCTAAATATGTGCATGTGTGGTTTACATTCAGAGCTGCGACTTGACTGTGACACCATGTATATATGGGCCTTAAGTGATCCCCTATAAATGAATGAGAGGGGGAGGAGGAGGGGGGAAAGGGTGGTAGACAAGTGATTTACGGCCTGTGATATCAACTACTTCATTCAAAATAAATTATTGATTGATAGAAATATTGCATCATATACATCATGATATTTTTTTATTGTAAAACTGTTAAGTGAAAGTAAGCCATTTCTGGCGAAGTCCACTGGTCTCGCCGCATTTCAAATGGATCCAAATCTCCGATCACTCTCAATTTCTCCAAGGATCTTGCCTCACAGATTACTCCAGTGTATCAATATACTTAACACGGTCAGCGTCGGCCGAATTCGTGGCTTTAGATGACATGGGGACAAATGATCCGTGCAATATAAGCCAGACAAACAGTATTGCGTTTGTGCAAAGCATTATGGGTAATAAGCACGTGATGGAAAACCATCTATAGGATCTCGGGCCAATGTACATGAAATGTTTGAAAACAGAGTTAGTAATGAGTAGTTGGCCTTAGTAAATGTTGTTAAACATTTGTTAATGAGTTGTTCCTGTTTTATTTTATGTACAGATTATGAAGTCATCATTAGTAAATGAGGAACTGTGCCTACTTTAAAATACTGTTTTAAAACAGAGTTAGTAATGAGGAGTAAACATGAACGTACACTCTGTTCATATGAGAAGGTGTAAATAATGTTTTGTGAATGATTTGTTAATAAGAGGATTCATTACCATTAAATATTCTAATAATAATTTGTAAATGATTATATAATGTTATGATTTATAATTAAATGTCAATTAAACATTGAAAAATGTGTTGTATATTTTCTGTTTCTTAGTAGTTAATGATATGAATACTTATCATGAGTTGATTCTATGTAGATCATGAGTAGGATACTTTTATTTTGATGTTGATGAATATTTAACATATCACCTAATCATTGTTCATTTGCTGGGAACACTTAGGTAATGAGTATTAGAGGTGAATTTCAACATTCTTAATGATTTAACAATCATTAGGTATTCATTATACATTGATTCATAAATGAGTTGTTAATAATTAGGTCATGAGTTGCACATGGTTATAATAATGTTTACATGTGAATAATTAACATTTTATAATGAACTAGTAACAATTAGTAAATCATATGTGAATCATTTATGAATGATTATAAACACTAAAATAAAACATGTAATGCCACATACCGGTTGCCCAGGGAAGCTATGGTTACAGTAGTTATTTATCACCACTGTGTATGGAGTGAATGAATAATGACATGAAGCTTGTGAAGCGTCTTTGATTGTCCTGAAAGCGCAACATTAAACTAATGCATTATTACTATTATATTTCTGTAGCAAAATGCGGGAAAAAAAAGATAATTTACTTACTGTATAATAATGAACCACAGGTATCAGAGAGTGTGACTATAAGAAAGAAACACGTTTTCTCCTACATTCAGTTCTGTGTTTTCACATTTTCGGGTACACTGTTTGTCCTACACTTTATTGTCGGTTTACCTGTGATACAAGTAACATTGTTAATCTCATTATATTGATGCATGGTTGTCTTAGATTAGCTGTGTCAAAGGTACAATGTGTCTATTCAAAAAAGTTCACTCAAATCCCAAACATTGCCCATACAGGTGTGGTCTTCATCCCTCCTCCTCCTCCTGTTCCTCTCCAGCGGTCCGAACTAATCTGAAGTGTCCGGAGGGGTCTGGGATGAACCACCTCTCCCACAGCTCAGCATGCACTGAGGGGGACGTCCAGGGCTTGAAGGGGCCGTTCCAGTGCAGCAGCTGTGCCTTCTGCAGCTCGCTCTCTGCGTAGTAGGCATCTGGGCTGAACCCTGCAGGAGACACAAGTATCAGTGTGTGTGTGTGTGTGTGTAAGGGCGGTATGTGTTTGTGCCAGCCTCACCCAGATGCCGGACGTTCCACTGTGGCTCCAGTCGGGTGAATCGGTCGTGGAAGACGATGAGCAAGGGAGGAGTGGCCACACCCCCCACAAGAGCACTACTGTATATGTTATGTCTGTTCACACACACACACACGCACACACACACACACACAAACGCACGCACAAATAAACAATAATGAAATTCATAACTCACTCTCAAAACAGTTTGCTTCTGCCTCTACAACTCAAAAAAATGTAAGCCCACCCTGTATTAGCTAATCAATTAATGTATTTGTTCAACTGTTTTGAACTACAAAACTACTATTTGAACTACATCACAAATCTAACTACTACGTTTTTAAACTTAAAGGTGATTTTTTCCAGACACATTTTTTTAAATATTGTGGGAAAATGTCCATAAACCCTAAAAGTAGTCAAGTTATCATGTGTTTTCAAATAGTAATGGAATTGATCAGATGCCTATAGTCTCCAAAAGTAAATAAAAAACATTTTGGAGCATTCATTTAACAAATGCCTTCAAACAACTAAACTAGACTGGTCCAAAAAAAAAAATCCCCTCCCCTCAGCATTGACACACATGTGGAATGGAACTTTTGGACCATCCTGTAAAGACGTTTTTGAGAGGTCTGCCAATGCTATATGTTAGGATTGGCTAATTCTTCTTCTGGGTCCACCCCCATCGGCCCGGGGTGGTATTGCAAGCATGTCAGCGCACGTCATTTTGGCCACTTTTGAGCCGGGACCCGCTCCCACTAGTGGAGAGGTGAGGGGAGTGTCAGGGATGAAGCAGACAGAGACGGATCGTGGTGCGCCAAACTCTGGAAGTTTATTTAAGTTTCTCTCAAGTTCCAGTGGTTTCCATTGTTTCCTTCTCTCAGACAAAATGGAGTCAGTACACAGTTTATATAGTCATTGTCACGTCACACATCGAAAGACATACGTGTCACACAGAGACAGTCACATCATAGTCAAAACAATCAGAGTCCTTGTAGAGTCCTGCACGTAGGCCATATTGCTATCTAATACTAACAGGAGGGGGGAGTGGTTTCGAGTTGGTGCTACGGCTAAGCTAACAAAATTGCTTACTGCACCTTTAAATCCCAAATCTGTCAGAAATATAATATAATAAATTTGATAATTTACCTAAATCTTAGTTTGCATCAAAGTGTCCTAGAAGACTTCAAAAAGAATGTAGATTAATCCTTCCAATCAACACTACACATTGGTGGAAACCATATTGACCCCTTGCATGTGACGTCCCGGCCACGCCCACTCTCCATGACAGACAGCGGAAGTCTAACTGCGAGCCGGAAACTTCACCAAAACAACCAGTTCCACCAACTAACAGCCAAAATTGTGATATTTTACAGTGTGGTTGGTTGTACTAACAGGCAAGGACATGAGCCAAATGTGTATTTTTATCTGATACCTGAACCTGATGAAGACAGAGTACAACGGTGGCCAGCGGCAATCAAACAAAAGGGCCGGGAGTCATCCAAGTACTCCCCAATTTACAGTAAACACTTTTTACAAGATAAATACAAAACTGTGATTTATTTATTTTCTTTTCATTAATTTTTTTGGACGTTGTAACAAGGAGGCATGAGCGGGCGGCGGTGGGAACACAAACACCAGGGAGGCAGTCTTGAGGGTCCACGTTTTTAGAATTTATTTTCCTTTTTTGTGTGCAAAATGTAAAGTTTACCATAATAAAGTGCAACTGCAATAAAGTGCATTGAAGGACTCAAGCAGTGTAGCTCATCCAGCAGCCAGAGTGAGTGTCTGAGACTCTCCCTCTAAATTGGATAACCACTAAAGATAAGCAGGTGTACACATGCCACATTTGCTATCAAACCTCTATTACCACCCTCCCAATATAGCCCCCGACCATAATATAAAGAAAAAATCAAAACCCACAACTAAATAAACTAAGAACCTAAAACCAGTTAAAACCCTGCAATCCTCCCCCCAGCTTGTTCTGCCCCTTGGTCCAGCCCGGAACGGATTTTAGCGGCGTCTGTTCCCCACGGACTCTTTTCACCAGACACCGCTACCCTGGACACAAGAGGACAAGGTAAACAACCTGCGCTCCCACACACATTCACACACTCAGACACCCGACCATTCACCGCATGCATGAAACACTAAAAACATTACCAATTCTAAAACTACATCTATCATTGCACTATGCCCAATTCTAATTATATGTTGTGAAAATGATGTGCGCTGACATGCTTGCAATACCACCCCGAGCCAATGGGGGTGGACCCAGAATTAGAATTAGCCAATGCTAACATATAGCGTTGGCAGACCTCTCGAAAACGTCTTTACAGGATGGACCAAAAGTTGGCTCTTGGCCCAAAGCTCCGTTCCACATGTGTGTCAATGCTGAGGGGGGTGAAGTTTTTTTGGACCACTCTAGTTTACTTGCTGTGAATTTTTGAATCCTCTCGTTCAAATGAATGGAGCTTGCACTGGCTGACGCATGCGCAGATGCGTTTTTTTTTCACAATTTTCTTGTGGGCGGGACCACTCGCGGCCATTTTGGATAGCTCTAACCATTAGTTAGAACGGCGGAGATAGGCGTGACTACGTCCGTTAATTTTTACAGTCTATGCCTGGAACGCACCACACCGAACCCACTGACGACAACAACAGCCCCCTCAACAAACATTCCAAAATGAACATGGTGTGTAATGTTTTTAAATGTATATAATTAGCAATGTTCAAAAGTGTTGTGTGCATAAAGTGCGTGTGAAAAGTAAAGTGCATGTATGTAATCAAGTGCGTGTGGGTAAAGTAACGAACGGCCGGTTCGTTACAAAGGTCAATGACAGAACGAACGATTGAAGTCAAACGTGTCTCTTACTACTGTGCTGTGTGTGCGCTGCAACATTGAAATTTTCTCACTGTGGCACAAATAAAGGATCTCTTATCTTATCTTGACGTCAGTTGCATTTTTCACAATTTCCGTCAATATGTATCATGTTTGGCTGTAGACAGAAAAGTGAACTATTGCTAATGTGCTAATGCTACCAGCACAATTTACATTTAAATCTGCTCCAGTGTGAGGAGATGCATTGTTAACGACATAATGGTAAAGATCATGTGGGGTGAATTTGGGCAAAATTAAACATTTCATTTAATCAATAAAATTGACTGTGGGGAGAGGGTATGGGTGATCCTTACCTTCTCCAAATACCGCTCATTGTGAGCCCTGACAAGATGTCCTACTTTCACCGATAATGTAATCGAAACATGTGCTTGAAGCAGCCACTTCTCGTTTTAGAAGAGGAGTCTCAGTTTATAAGAGTTGTAGTCCGTTTTGCTCTCGCCACAACACTAGTTTCCACTACTTCCGTCGTAAGCTCATGCACAATCACGTGACTGGATGACGTCGATGTCGATGCATCAGGTCAATAGACTGTAAATATTGGAACACACTGCTGGTTGCCATTCTAGATATTGGACACTGCACCCTGGTGGACACACCAGACCAGGGGTCGACAACTCAAAAGGTTCATAGAGCCATATTCGACACAATAAAAGAAGAACAAAAAAAATAGCCTTGTATAAGGCTTATACTGTATGAAGGCAACACAGGCTGTAAGCTGTATTGGCTATACATATAGTCATTATGATAGCCCACTATCATAATGACTAAGTGGGGTACAAATACATAATATGCATTCATGATTATGAAATCTGTATTTTCACTGCAACGCATGGAGAGAATGACGTACCGTGACTACTCTGCAATGAGCAGTCTGCTTTAACTTTAACATCCATTTTGTTGCGTAAACAGACAGAGCATTACAGCACTGTCTGTTTGATATCGATCACGTCACAGGCTGGAGTTTGCTGGAGCAGAATTAATGGTCCTTTCTTTCATCGTCTTTTCAGAGAGAAGCATGTCTTTAATTTTCTGGATTATCTCAGTGTTTGAAGTCTGAAAATAGTTCCGATATTTTGATAACGTGATAACTGTGAACAATTTTTTGCACTTCATTGTTCCTCGTGTTGCAACAAAACAGTCCTTCCTTATTGGCAATGAAAGCAAATGTTTCCGTCCATTCTTTCTTGAATTCTCGGTTTTTATTACCCTTTTCCTCTATTTAGCTTTAGGATCCATGCGGACCAATGTGTCAACCTCGCACGCGCCGGTTTGTTTAAAACAGCGGCCGCCTCATGCGGGGCAGAGTCGCAGGACATGACGCAAATCTCCGTTGACAGAAATGTGGAAATTGAATATTTATTATGCAAATGTTTACAGCTTTGAAAAATGTTAAGAATGTTTTATCTCCAACAGAAACCACAATAAAACTAGAAATAAAATATACCCCTCCCACTCCATTTTCAGACATTTTTGAAGGGGCTCCAGGAGCCCCTCGAGGGGCACTAAAGAGCCGCGGGTTCTCGGCCTCCGCTCTAGACACACACCTGTAGTTCTGCTGCAGCCACCTCTCCAGCTCTTTGGTCAGGGCCTGTCTCCTCCACTCGTCCACATCTGCCACAAACACTCCGGGGTTAAAGCTGCACTTGCTTGGACTGATGCCCAAGTCTCTGACCTGCTGCTTTCTGTAGTCCAGGAAGCCCATATATGTGGTCTGGGCACATCGAGACAGCGTGCATTCAGAAATAATTACACTGTTACATCCATTCAAAGGGAACTATTTGAACATGTTTATTTGTATAGCACAAAGTGCTTAAGACACACTAAAATCAGAATTCAAAACAATAACCTGAGACACAAAATGACACAGCACAGTGACAGTAGTCCCTTTTAAACTCTAAATTAGGGTCTAAAAGAGTGTAAATGACCCAGGCCTTTACTGTGGAATCGGCTTCCCATCCACGTTAAGGACACAGACACAGTCTCTGCATTCAAGGCCAGGCTTAAAACACTCTTCTTCAATTCAGCATATGGTTAGGTTGTTTGTCTGGTTTTGGAGTCTGCTTGTACGGGACCTGGTCCTTTCTTTGGTGCTGTAGCCTGGGCAAGTCTAGCTGTGGCTGCTGCTCTTTTATTACCCTTGTGCAGAGGATAGCACAAGGGTAAGTCCGAAGTGGCATGTTTTAGCAGTGGGGGAAACTCCAGGCAGAACGGTCCGGGCAGACACAGGATCAAACCCACAACCTTCTTGCTGTATGCCATACAGCAAGCTACCCACTCAGCAACTGTACAAATATCTCCCTTCAAGACTACAAACCAGACCCCATAAGTCTGATATCTGACAATCTAAAGATCTACACTGCAAAATTAAAGTTAAACATTTCTCAAATTCGGCAAAATGTATATTAATTTGAGCACATTTTGACTGCCTTAAAACATTTGCCAATGGAACATGCACAATTGTCTTGTTTTAAAAAGATAGGGTACAAACTAGCATAGAGCGGCAGGGGTGAATGGAAGGAGGTGAAAGTGGGGATAGTCAGAGCAATGGTTCTGCTGAACAAGAAGCAAACACCGGAGTACCTGCATGCCGAGACTGCGCATTGCCTCGTGGGACTGGGGCAGGTCACAGTCCGAGGCGAAGGCTGCGGCGTGACCATGATCCAGTTGCACACTGAACAAGTCTCTGATGTCACCTGCCAATGAGAATGGGGAGTGCCAAATGTGACTTTTATTCATCTAACACACTTTATTAAGTCCTGCAACTCAAAGAGTTCTTAGTTTAATCTTTAAGCTCAGAGTCGAAGGACATGTACTGTAACTTGTAAGAGTGTTCCTTTTACAAGGAGCATCATTGAAAAAAGTTGCTTCTCCTACTTTCTCACACAAGGATCAACAAACCAGAAATATATGTAGGCGCCAGACTGTTCTAAAAAATAAAAATATTCTTTATTTTTTTATCTCAATGTTGAGAGATACATTTCTGAAATATTTGTATTACTGTCTACCTACAAAGGTAGAAGTTAATGTGTATTTAGAATAGGTAGAATTGGTCTCTTGGATAAACTGTTCTGTGGATCCTTCCACAAGTTACACAATAGTTGGCTGGAATTCTGGCCAATTCCTTTTGACAATTTTTTTTTAACTGAGTCAGGTTTGTAGGCCACTTTTGAGATGTGCACACAAATGTTCTCTGGGACTGAGATCAGGGCTTTGCAATGGAAAAACTTAAACATTAAAGCTGGGGTACCTTATTTTAAAATTATAAAATGGTACAACAAAAGTTAAAAACTACACTTTCCAAAGCACTCTCACCTTGAACAATGACATCGTCGTCCAGGTAAATTAGTTTCCTGTGCTTGATGTCCAGCAGGGGAAGGTAGAAACGCACAAAGTTTAGCTGTAAACAGGCCTTGTGTTAGTCTACACACACACACTCACACACACACAAACGAGAGATTTGTCACCGGGTGCAGTAGCTCTGGTCGGGATGATTCAGGCTTCACTTTCCCTTTCAGCACCATGGGGTTGAACTCCAGGATCTTGTATTTGATGTGTTTGAGTTTTGTTTTCTCAATGTACTGTCTGTGCAGAGGGACAGAACCACATGTATTATGCACTACACAGGGACCAAGGGAAAAGCATGTTACAGCTGGAGTACTTCACTTTCACTTTTTGTGCATTATAGTATACTGTACCTCAACGATGAGGGGCGAAATGATAAAGAAAATCAGGAAAATAACATATTTGTTTGGAATTTTTAGAAGAATTTATTAGCCAAATATGGTAAAAAAATAAATATTTTGTCATTGACAAGAAACCATCTCAATACTTTGTTATACACCCCTTGTTGGCAAAGACAGAGGTAAAATGTTTTCTGTAAATCTTCATATGGTTTAAGTACACTGGCCCATTCCTCCGGCAGATCTCTTCTTCTTCAGTGATGTTTTGGTGCTGTCGCTGGGCAACACATTCTATGATGTGGTTGAGATCTGGAGACTAGCTAGGCCACTCCAGGACCAGGAAATCTCATTCCTCTGTTGCCAGGGCAGAGTCTTTTGAGTGAGACTTGGATGATCCGTAAGAGGATTGTAAGAATCCAAATTTAAAACTTTTTGGTAAAACTCAACTTATCCTGTTTGGAAGTGAAAGAATACAGAGTTTTATCCAAAGAACATCCTACCTAATGTGTTTTTTTCTCTCCATTGCATAGATAGAGACAGAGGCTGTCATCTCTTTCCTGATACGTGACTTCCTGTATCCGGTGAGCGTGTTTCTTGACTGCTATCACTCTGCTCTCTGTTTGCACTAACAAACACATTACAAATCCACGTATTGTACACCAAGCTAACTGTGTAAGCACTCCGAGTCAGCTGTACTGTAGCTGAGGTTTAGGTAGCGGTTGTTTGTCTGGTCTCGGAGTCTGTTGTGCGGGCCCGGATCCGTACTAGCTTAGCCTAGCCTAGCTTAGCCTAGCCTAGCCGCTAACTCGCTACTATGGCGGCTGCTGTCTCTCCCTCAATCCTTTACTGCTCGAGTTGCCATATGGCGAGTCTAAACCCTGGATCCTTCTCTAAGGGTAGTGATAGATGTGTGAAGTGTAGTGTAGTCGTAGCTCTGGAATCCAGGGTCAGTGAGTTAGAGCTGCGTCTCCGAGCACTGGAGTCTCGAGCTAGCGCTAGCATTAGCTACAGCCAGGCCGTATCCTCAGGGACAGCGGAGCGCAGCTTTAGGGAAAGGCAGAGGAGAACTAGCGAGCCTAGCCTCCCAGCCCGTCCTCCGCAGCTGGGACAAGACCAGGATAGTGATGGCTTTGTGACTGTTCGGAAAGGGCGACGTGTTGTTGGTAGTTTCCCCATTGGGCCTCCTCCTGTTAGCATTTACAATCGCTGGGACGCTCTGTCCGGCTGCGCCCCCGCGCGGCCGGGCGGGGAAGAAGGCCCCACTGAGAGAGCCGCTGAGAGAGCTGCTGAGAGAGCCGCTGAGAGAGCCGATGGAGTCGCTGATGCGCTGGTAATTGGCTCCTCTATTGTTAGAGGTGTTAAGATCCCAGGAGCCACTGTTCGGTGCTTCCCTGGGGCCAGGCTTGGTGATATTGAAGGGAATCTGAGGCTCATGATGACCCACAAGCAGCGTTTCCGTCGAATTGTTATTCACGCGGGTGGTAATGACGTTCGGCGGAAACAGTCCGAGGTGTTCTAGTTCTAGCGGTAGGGTTGTTAAATGTGGTTTAATGAACGTCAGATCAATCTCGTCTAAATCGCTTCTCATAAACGAACTTATTATAGACAAGGGCTTGGATCTGTTTGCGCTCTCGGAGACTTGGCTCCAACAGGACGACTACGTTAGATTGAATGAGTGCACTCCTCCGACGCATGTTAACTACCAGAAAGCCAGAACTACAGGTCGCGGCGGTGGTGTTGCGATTATATCACACACCAACTTGGTTCTTAGTCCCAAAACCAACAACGCTTTTCACTCGTTTGAAAACTTAACACTTTCAATCACCTGTCCTGGGTGGAGAAAACAAAAAGCAGTACTATTTATAGTTTTATACCGACCTCCTGGTCCTTACAGCGAGTTCCTAACAGAATTCTCTGACTTCATTTCAAACCTAGTTTTGGAATGGGAAAACATAGTTATAGCTGGAGACTTCAATATACATGTGGACGACAGCACTGACAGCTTAAACAAAGCTTTCAGCGCCGTACTAGATGGTGTTGGTTTTACTCAGAATGTCGAGGAACCTACTCACATTCATAACCACACCTTGGACCTTGTCCTGACCTACGGCTGTGATGTCTCCAATGTTGACATCCAGCGTCAAAGCTCGTTGCTGTCTGACCATTTCTTGATCACGTTTGATCTTGATTTGGAGGACTTTCCTGCGCCGCAAGATAAAACCATAATGAAAAGAACCTTAAATGATAAATCTATCACAAGGTTCAAAGAACTAATACAGCCTATGTTGAATACTGCTGCAGGTGAACCTGTTCACAGCTGCTGCAGTCCCTCAGTCATTGACCAAACGGTGGGCAACACTATGGAGTCTTTAAAATCTGCATTAAATGCAGCAGCTCCTTTAAAACAGAAAACCATTAGGATTAGATCATCGTCGCCCTGGTACAGTGTTCAACTCCACACTTTAAAACAGGACGTCAGAAAATTGGAGAGGCTATATCGCCACTCCCACTCGGAGCCTGTCCACAGGGAGTGGAAAGCAGGTCTCCGAAACTACAAGAAGGCCCTTCGCGGGGCTCGAACTCAATACTATTCAACTTTAATAGAAGCGAATAAAAACAACAGTAGATTTTTGTTTGGCACCGTCGCTAAACTCACAAACTGCCATAGCGCAATCGAGCCTAAAATTCCAAGCTCACTGAGCAGTGTCGACTTTCTCCACTTCTTTAATAATAAAATTACATCCATCCGTGACAAGCTGGAGGAGGTTGCTCCTGCTGTTAGTGGTGGACAGGTTGAAGCGGCATACGTGACTTCCCACTTAGACTCTTCAGTGGGCCTTAATAAATTCATGGCTGTGAGCCAAGCAGAGGTGATCTCTGTGGTCACATCCTCAAAAGCCTCAACTTGCATGTTAGACGCAGTCCCGACATGGCTCTTCAAAGACATACTTCCTTTGATAATTGAGCCTATCGTAAATATAATAAACGCATCCATACAATGTGGCTATGTCCCACAAGCTTTTAAAACCGCGGTAATCAAACCCCTTCTGAAGAAAACAAACCTGGACCCAGAAATACTTACAAACTACAGACCGATCTCAAACCTCACTTTTATATCTAAAATCCTGGAAAAACTTATAGCTGAGCAACTCCGCTGCCACCTGCAGGAAAATGATATGTTTGAAGTCTTTCAATCAGGATTCAGAGCTCATCATAGCACTGAAACGGCACTAGTCAAAGTCACAAATGACTTACTACTAGCTGCCGATAATGGACAAGTGTCAGTGCTGGTCCTACTGGACCTTAGTGCTGCATTTGACACAATAGACCACAGCATTCTACTGCAGAGGCTAGAATGTGATATAGGTCTTAGAGGAACAGCCCTTGGCTGGTTTAAATCCTATTTATCAGATCGATATCACTTCGTCAATGTGAATCAGGACTCGTCGCCTTATTCTGGAGTAGAATTCGGTGTGCCTCGGTACGGGTTCGGTACTCGGACCGATTCTTTTTACTCTCTACATGCTGCCACTGGGAAACATTATTAAAAAGCATGGAATTAATTTCCACTGCTATGCAGATGACACACACCTTTATCTGTCGATGAAGCCTAATCAGACAGATCAGCTAGAAAAGCTCAGTGCCTGCATAAAGGACCTTAAAATGTGGATGACTCTTAACTTCCTACTTCTCAACCCGGAGAAGACAGAAGTGATCCTACTCGGTCCGAAGCGCCTGCGTGACTCCCTCACTAACCAGATGGTTACTCTCGATAATGTCAGTATAATACCCAGTAACACTGTGAGGAATCTTGGAGTCATTTTTGACCAAGAACTCTCCTTCAAGGCTTATATAAGCCAAGCAACTAAAACGGCGTACTTCCACTTACGGAACATCGCTAAAATTAGGAATTTCCTTCCTAAAAATGACGCGGAAAAACTCATTCACGCGTTTGTCACCTCAAGGCTCGACTACTGTAACGCTTTACTGGCAGCGTGCCCTAAAGCCTCTTTGAAGAGCTTCCAGCTCGTTCAGAATACAGCAGCTAGGATCTTAACAGGTACCAAAAGGAGGGAGCACATAACTCCGGTGTTAAAATCACTCCACTGGCTCCCTGTGGAGTACAGAATAAAGTTTAAAATCCTACTCTTAACATATAAAGCCATAAATGGCTTGGCTCCCTCTTATCTCCAAGACACGTTAGTGTCGTATCAACCAGGTCGAGCGTTGCGCTCACAAAACGCCAGACGTCTGGTGGTCCCTAAGGTCTCAAAGGTCACTGTTGGTGGCAGAGCATTTAGCTACCAAGCTCCTTTACTGTGGAATCAGCTTCCCATTTATGTTAAGGAAGCAGATACGGTCTCCACATTCAAGGCCAGGCTTAAAGCACTTTACTTTAATTTAGCATATAATTAGGTAATATATAATATGTAGTGTATATATTATATATATATGCTGTATTATGTTATATATTATGTTATATATTATTCAATAATGTATTGTGTTATGTTGTATATTATGCTGTATGTTATTCTTTATTCAAGGCTAGGTTTAAAACAGTCCTCTTTAGTTTAGCATATGGCTAGGAAGGTAAGACTCGGAGAAGGTTAAACTCCTCAGAGTGTTAGTCAAGCTGCATAGGGAGTCAGTTTGCTGGGAGAAGTATGGTAACTTGAGCACTATCCTCTCCTCCTTCCTACTTTATCTGTTTAGCATTTTTAGGATTCTGACTGTAGTTTGTTCATTGCTATTCACCCGTTGTCCCATTGTCTGTTTCATGGTACGATGACGGGATCTCTGAGCCTGGCCTCTTCCGTCTGCGCCTGCGGACTGCCCCGCCCGGCCCGCCTGGGAGTGCTTCGGTCCTGCGCCGGACCTGTCCACGTTCAGCGTCCACTGGCCCACGTTCTGTAGCTAGCTTAGGTCCTAGATCATTAGCCTGTCCGTCCGGAGGAGCGGATCCCTTTCTCATATGGGTCTCCCTCCCTGTGGGTTTCCCTAGTTCTCCTCCAAGGTTTCTCACTTTTTCCCACTGGGTTTTTTAAGAGTTTTTCCTTATCGATGCAGGAGGGTCTTGTTGGACAGTTAGTGTCCAACAGAAAGGATTGGTGATGATCAGGACACTTTAGCATTCTACAACATGTATGGACATTTTCTTCTGTGTGTGCTTTATATTCTTCATGTGTTTTAACTGTTGATTCTCTGACCTGTGTTGGTGATTTCAATGGTTTTGTTAAGTCCTCTGAGATGACTTCTGTTGTGACCTAGGGCTATACAAGAATAAATTGTATTGTATTGTATTGTATATATATCTGTTCTGACGTTCTGATACATTTGTGAAGACGTCATCCAAAACCTCGCTCACACTCATAAAGAGTGTGAGCGAGCTACTCAGGATAGCGGCAGCTATCCTGAGTAGGATAGCTGCAGCAACTGATATTAGCTATAAGAACTAATATAATATATAACATTTTTCTCTTCACATGTCATTGTTTTATTCACTTCATAAACTACTACTGTAGCCACAGCTGCCCTCAGAAACACTGACAGAATGGAGGAAATTATGTGCCATCTGCCCCTCTGACCATCACAAAACATTCATGCACACACCAGACTCATTCTAGGCAATTTGGATGAAGTGTCTTTCCTAAGGACGCAACAAAGTTTGGAACTGTACAGCTGCAGTCACCCAAATGTGGCAACTGGTGTTACCAAAGGTTTCCCATCACAGTACTAATCAGTCCCTGACCTGCTCAACTTCAGAGGTCTGACAGGATCTGGCTTTGACATGCAGGTTTAGAACTGTTGATGAACAAAACACCTGGATACCCTCTTAACTTTCTGTCTTTAATTCCAACTAAAGTAACTTTTACTTTAAGTCTGTGTCCTTGAAAGTTCATTGCTTTTTGTTATTTGGAAGTTAGATTAATATAATTTAAATCTGGGAAACCTGTTTTGGAATAGAGATAAGCTTTTAAAAGAAAAGCCCCACATTTGAACAGATTTAACAGTTAAGTGTTGATGCTTCACCAAGCAAAGGGTTTCTCCAGCACTGACAACACCACCATCTACACCATCCCCAAAGATCTCATCACCTCCTCAAATATGAACCAACTCGGAGTCTGAGGAGCACAGGGACTGGCCAGAGTTAAGACTAAACATGGGGAGGCAGCGTTTCAGATGTATGCAGCTAAAATCTGAAACAATCTTCCTGAAAATTTGAGGCACGCTTCTACTCTAACAATGTTCACATCCAAGTTAAAAAGTTTTGTTGAGCTGTACATACAACTGAAGGATTGTATCTTCTCTTGTTTGAATGTGTTGTTATTATTTATGATTGACATGATTATTTAATGTCCTGAATGATGATGTTTTTTCTTGTTTTGTTAAGAATTTGCCATTGCCTTGCCTATTACAACATTTGAATTGCAGCATGGACATGTATATTATTTCCAGACAAATTCTGGGTGTCAGTGTGTTTGTACCGCGTGAGTCTAACAGCGTCACGCAGAGTGACAATGTAGAAGTACACCTCGGCATCCGTATTGCTATAAATACTGTTGACGGTCGCCATGGCAGCACCCAGCCTCTCCTCCGCGGCACAGAGGACAACCGGGATCACTGGGTCAGCACGGAGAGCAGGGTCCAGAATGACGTGAGGCTCTGAGCAGTGACAACACAAGATAACACATGAAGCCTGAGTAGGATAGCTGCAGCAACTGATCTGCACACACAGCAAAAACTGAAGTGTTGAATATTCAGGGTTAAATGTTTCCCTGTTTGTAAATGTGTCATTTAAAAAAAAAAAATTTTTTAAATTATGATTATGTTGTGATGTAGCCTGATGCAGCCAAACTTTAGCCCCGCCTCCATAATTTTCCAGTGTGAAGTTTGGTCTGGCACAGCTCGGTTGGGGCAGAATTACATCTGAACAAAATCTTAAATTGTGGGTTTTATAGATGGGCAGATGAGCAACAGTAACTTTATTAAATAGTAGAAAGTGTTTAAATGGACTTAAATTTAATCTTATTAACAGCCCAATATTTGCTGTGCAGTCACATAACTGAAAAATATAATGATAAAGTACCTGTGTCTGTGTGTGTGGAGTTTCCCCTGAGCAGAGCCCAGTGCAAGAGCAGACACAGCAGGAGCAACAACAGCGCCAACATCACCCTGTTTACTGAACAAAAAGGACTCAATCTTGCACAATATTTTTAAACACTGCGTGAAAATATTCAATGTTGGAAAGAGAAGTGGCTTCTTCATTTTACAAAACAATATCCAGATAGATTTGGACCCTACAGTAAGCCTCATTTGAGTAAACTGGTCAGATGAAATCATCTACTTGTAGGGTAAGAACCTTACATGGAGAATTAACTATACTAAAATAGCTTAAAATTGAGTAGAATGAGCTTATGTCTGCTCTCACTGATATGTGCTTGATTCTACAGACTAAATTTGGATTTAGATTTAGTTTAAGAACTAAAGAAAGTTACCTTATAGAGCACCAGTCCAAATTGGACACTAAATCTAATTACAAATGTGTTTTCAGTCTCATAATATAACTGCATGTGAATTCTTTAAACTGTTCAGGGAATTCTGTGGAAAAATAATAACTATCAGCGACTTAAGACTGCGGTTTATTTAAGGACATTAGGCCTCATTCACGAACCGTACTTAAGAACAAATCTGTGCGTAAATCCTACTTACGAAGATTTTACGAAGATTGTGGCATTCATGAAATTTTCTCGTAACCAGAATTTCTCTTGGGTAAGTACAAATCCTACTAGTCCTCAGGAGCACTCGTACGCACATTCAGTGCCGACATGTGTCGAGGATTTAGCAGACAGAGACGGATCGTGGTGCGCCAAACTCTGGAAGTTTATTTAAGTTTCTCTCAAGTTCCAGTGGTTTCAATTGTTTCTTTCTCCCAGACAGAATAAAGGCAGTACACAGTTTATATAGTCATTGTCACGTCACACATCGAAAGACATACGTGTCACAAAGAGACAGTCAAATCATAGTCATAACATGGAGTCCTTGTACAGTCCTTTTACAGTCCTGCACGTAGGCCATATTGCTATCTAATACTAACACCCTCCCCTTTGATCACATAATCACATGTGATCACTCAATTTGATCAATCAATAAAGTGGAAAAAGAGAAAAAAAAAACTTCAGGTAACGCTTTATATTAAGGTGTGCTTGTTAAGTATTAATAAGGTATTAATAGACATTAGCAACATGCTTATAGATTGCTTATATGTACTTATAAACATATTAATAAGCTGCTTATTTCACTATTCTCTAAATGATGTTGTTCTAGTTATATGCTTTTAAGCATTTAATAAGTAATTAGTAAGATACTTATTAAAGGAGGAATATGTTTATAAATATATGAATAAGCTGCTTATTAAACTATTATCGATACCATGTTAATAGGCCACTAACAATGTGCCTATAAAGATATTAATACGCTGCTTATTAATAGGTAATAGTGGTAATAGGCCACTAAAAATATGCGTTAATAAACTGCTTATTACACTATTTTGCAGTACCCTAATCTAAAGCGAGGAGCATTTTTGTTAATGCAGAAAAAAACACAACAATGATCTAACATGTTTTTATTTATTCAAACAGCAACAATTAAAGTCTAAATGAAAAAATATATGAAAATTAAGTTTGTGCCAAAAATTTGTTAGTAACTTCAAGGAGCCATGAACAGTGTCACAGTTCCTGTACACAGCTTGTTATGCAATAGTTACTCTCTATGGTTAGTCTATGGATAGGCAATATTATTCTCATTCAAAGAATTGGCTTTTTAGATCTAATCCTAATCAATGTAATTACATCACACAGTACAAAATCAACAAATAAAAAGTGTCAGGACAGACGTCAATTAAGTCCATGACAATATAGAATTCAAATGAACATTTCTGGTCTCAAAAAATACTGATTCAAATAAAGATTCAAGTGATAGACAATTAAAAATATTTGTTTAAACTGGAGTAAACTTTTAAAATGCTTTTTTCTCATGTTCTGCTTTTTCATGTATCTATAAATGTGAATGTGTGAGTGTATGATTGTGTGTGTGTGTGTGGTGTGAATTTTGGGGTTGTGTCTCCAGACTCCTCGAACCACCTGTAGGTGTCAAAGGTCACACTGTGGTGATGTAAACCAACTGGACACACTCTCAACTCTCATCCAGGTCTCTCCCTGATGCTCCACCCATCACGTCTCCAGACACCTCTCTCTACCCCAGTCTCTCTCACACCCACTCAGCTCTGGAGTGGCATGGGGAGGGGCAAGGAGGTGGCATTTTCCTTTGCTCTTTGATCTGTGACCTGTGTCTGGGTGAGCGTTGCTGGGCTCCTGTGGTCCGAGCTTTGTGTCCACTCCTGCAGTGACCCCCCGTACAGTGTGTGCCCTTGGTTCTGGAAAACAACCTTATAGTCAAATTAAAAACAACAGATATCAGTATGTGAATGAGATTGTTTTTCTCTCTAAAGTCAAACAATTTTGGAGCGCTCTTGGCTTTCCCACATGCGCTTGTAATAATTTTACTTATTATCTTACTAATGATGACATTTTTAGGACCAGAAACTCTCTCTTAATAAAAAACAATCTCAAAAACCTTCAAACTTTAAAATATGTATTATGTACTTTTGTACTGTGTGTTTAATTATCTATGCGTCCTTGGGTTTCACTTTATGGAATTTCCCTTTTACACTTGAACATTTATCTCAGCATATATTCTACTAATTTAAAATAATTGCAGCATTTTCAAATTAAGTCAATATGAATTGGAGCACATTTCAGACCAGGCTCCTCTGCTGTGGCATCAGCAGGAGCAACAAGGTCAGGCGTGTAGTCAAAACAAAAAAGTCACCGCTTGCAATGTGAATTGGGTGAATTGGGTACAGTTCAACTCAATAATATGATACTTTTACAGCTAATCCTAATTCCCTCTTTCTTTTTAGAAGTCTATAATCAATAATCACTTTTAACACAGATTCTAATTTAAATGTTTGAAAAACGGCTTTTGTAACTAAAATAAAAACATAAAAACAAACTCACAAAAAGTTAAGAAATAAGCAGCAGATTTAAAAGAATGGAATCTAGAAATATGTTAGGTCTAAAAAGAATTGCACAGCTTTAGCACTAATATTTGGGTTTCAAAAAACACATAATATTCAAAACTTCTGTTTACTAAATGGTGTTTAAAACGTTTAACTGTGTCATAACCAGTGTTGGGCACGTTACTTTGAAAAAGTGATTAGTTATAGTTACTAGTTACTTCTCCCAAAAAGTAACTGAGTTACTAACGGAGTTACTCCACTATAAAAGTAACTAGTTACCAGTAAAAGTAACTATTGCGTTACTTTTTCGTTCTGTTCTGGAACATAATGTGCACTCGACGTGCGCAGTTTTACCTTTAACCTCAGTGAGTTTAAACAGTGCCAATATTTCCATCTAGAAAAGGCTGTTTTGCTGCTGAAGTCCTGTTCACTCTTCATCTCTCTCTGTGCTGTAAGTACTAAACACAAACACCAGCCACTGTGAATGTGGAAACACCGGTGAAGCACTGACTTCAGACCAATCAGATGAACATATATATCATATAAATCAAGTGGACAATTTGTTTGGCTACAGCAAAATATGTTTCATGGCCGCATTGTTTGTTCATACAAAACGCAAAACTATGAGTTATGGGTCTTACCTTATAAATGACCTGCACAGATCACTTCAGTTCAGACCAGTTCTGTGTTTAAGTCCAGATAATAGTTTGAGCGTAGATATGTAATCCTCCATTTGGAAATGAGTTTTAAAAAGTAAAACAAAACGCGTGTGTCCTCCATAAACTACTCTGTTTTGCTAGGTGCAGCCGGGTGCATCCAATTTCTAAAATCAACCGTCTTACACTTCACCTCTCTTTCTTATCATTCCTATAGTAATTGAAAAATTAGTGCATTTTAAATTATCTTAAAATGTGTTATATGTATGTTAGCCAAACTTGTTGCAGCCCTTAGCAGATAAACCAGGAAGAGAAAGGAGCTTTCAGATGGAATTGTATGCAGCCGACTTCTGCACTCACATGCGCTCCTCTGAGGCCTCACGGTGATACAAGCTGTGGTTGAGCGCGACTAAGACCCATATTTGTTTCAAAAACACAATTTATGACCATCCTCTCAACTGTAGACATGTAGATTGTAAAGGAAATATGTTTTACATCAGCCAATAATTGCTGAGAGGTTTTCTCATCCTCCCTTCTCTCATGACAACACGCGCACGAGTCCTATCACGAAGTAAAAAGAGAAGTTCATTGTGCGTCTTGAGTAACGCGCAGTAACGGGATGTCGGAAATGATAACGGCGTTATAGTTACAGTCAAAGTAATTAGTTAGATTACTCGTTACTGAAAAAAGTAACGGCGTTAGTAACGCCGTTACTAGTAACGCCGTTATTCCCATCACTGGTCATAACACAATGTTCAATTTAGCAAATTTAACTGAATAACAACTATTAAAAGCCAAAATCCTAAACGCAGGTTTGTTCTGATTCAGAGCCAGAGTAGCAAAGGAGGGGGCCGTTTCCCCTGACAACGGCAGCAAGATAGAGCACACACAGGAAGAAAGATACAGAAGAAGAACTTTAAAGATTACTTTTTTAAGCTAATATAACTGATGTTGTTCTTTAAACTTTTGTCATCCAAGTCTAGAAATGATCACTTTCCACACTTGTAACAAAAGGCACTCTTGTCTTTAACGTTTACGCTTCTATTTTATCGAGGTAGCAAACTAGTTTAAACTCAAAATCTCTTTCTAAAAAACAAAAACAACTGTTGGATACAACCCTCTCAAAGTTCAACTGTAGATAAAACTCTGCAAAAAATGTAAATAACTCACAAAAGCTCTCATAGCTCAACTGTAGATAAAACTCTGCATTCTACGGTGAACTCTGTTCACGCCGAAAGCAAACTAAAAAACAAAACACTCCCTTTTTCTGTATGTAATTTAAACCGTGATCACTGAAATATTGTTGCTTATGTACTTTTGTCATTTATCAGCCTGAAATTTGTCAATTTCAAAGCTTTTGTAACAAAGGCCTCTTTAACACATCCCTTTTTATTGCTTTTATGTTTACACCATGGTTTCACTAACTATTCTGGCT